AAAAAAAAAAAATCCCCATGTTAATATTCACTGGAAATGAGTCACAAGCCAGGTGCGGTAGTGCATACCTGTAATCCCAGCAACTCAGGAGGCTGAGGCAGGAGGATCTCAAGTTCACAGTCAGTCTCAGCAACTTAGCAAGGCCCTAACCAACTTAGCAAGACCCTATCTCAAAAAATTTTTAAAAAGGGCTGGGAATGTGGCTCAGTGGTTGAGTGCCCTTGGGTTCAGTTCCCTGGCCCCATAAAAAGAAAAGAGTCATGAGTCCAGATCATACTCAAGAAATTTAACAAAGAATTATTTACAGACATGTTTGGAAGACAATGTCAATCTCTGAATTTATTTGAAACTACCACAAGGATGTTATTAAACTTATAATTGAAGTATACTATAAATAGAAAAATTCACAAGTTGAAAGTATACACCTCAATGAATGAGAGGAACTTTCTTGTGTAGCCACTACCAAGATTTAGGACATACCAGCACCTCTGAATCCCTTTCATGCCTTCTACCAACCAGGACCTGGAAATGTGGCCAGCCCCAAAGACAATCCCTATTCTTCTGATTTGTAATAAAAAGTATAAATATTGGAAATAAAGAAGACTACCATTGTTCTTAGATGGTAATTGTGCATGTAGAGAATCTTAGGGAATCCAACAACATATACATTTTTAAAAATCAGTGAATTTAATCTGGGTGCAGTGTCGCACACCTGTAATTCCAGCGGCTCAGGAGACTGAGGAAGAGGATGAGTTCAAAGCCAGCCTCAGCAAAAGCAAGGCACTAAGCAACTCAGTGAGAGCCTGTCCCTAAATAAAATACAAAGTAGGACTGGGGATGTGGCTCAGTGGTCAAGTGCCCCTGAGTTCAATCCTTATTATCCTCTACCACAACCCCCCCCCATAAAAAAAAAAAAAGAAAGAAAAAGCAGCGAATTTAGCAAGTAAGTTGAGTAAAAGGTGAGTAGAAGTCTTTCTGGCCAGGTGTGGTGGCACAGGTCTGAAATCCCAGTGACTCAGGAGGCTGAGACAAAAGTATCTCAAGTTGAAGGCCAGTCTGGAATTCAATCTCACCTCTGTCCAGCTCACCAGCTTTTGCATATATTAGTCTATCGTGCAACTTCTTTTTTAAATTTATTTTCTTTAGTTTTAGATTGATACAATATATTTTATATTTGTGCGGTGCTGGGGATCGAACCCAGTGCCTTATGCATGCTAAGTGAGCACTCTACCACTGAGCCCCAGCCCCAGCCCTATCATGCAACTTCTTAATGTGCTGAGAAATATAATGATGTGCTCTTGGTCACTAGCTTAGTAGATAGCATTAGTTGAAGCCCAAATGGCCTTACTTTATCTCTGAACCAATTTAGTTCAGAGTGGGTGATGGTGTTTTTCAAGTCAGGGTGGCCCGACTCCAGGATTTTGAGAGGAGAATTATTACTGGTGTGTGCCAAGGTGTGGTGGTCTCATTCTCCCCACCTGGGATGCAGGTAGCCTGGCGTATTGTACAGGTCAGGTGGAGATGTGTTGAAGAGAAATGGGGGAGGGGATAACTCTGGGAAAAGTGTTTCTTGCTTCTTTTTTTTGGTACTAGGGATTAAACCCCAGAAGTGCTCTACCACTGAGCTACACTCCCACCCCTTCATATTTTTATTTTGAGACAGGCTGTCACTAATTTGATGAGGCTGGGCTCGAATTTATAATCTTCCCACTTCAGCCTCCTGAGTTGCTGGGATTATACCTGGCTGTTTCTTGCTCTTAAAAAAGAGGGTTTTTTGTTTGTTTGTTTTGTTTTGTTTTCATTTTTGTTTCTGAGAAACAATTGTTTCTCCTTTTCTGCCTGATATGATCTGTCTGCACTAATGGCAGGAGCTTCAGCAAACATATTCAAGTCATGAGGTGGCCAGTCTGAGGACAAGAGCCAGCCTGCCAAGGATGGCGGAGCAGGAAGACAAAAAGAATTCAAACTCTCCATAGACTCAGGACAGAACATTTAACCATGCTTGGAATTACATGACACCCAGACTTCTTGTTATATAAGGCAATACATTTACTTATTGTTTAGGACACACATTATCATTTCCACCTTATTTATTGGTTGAAGCAGTTACCAAACTCAAGTGCAGAGGACATTGACTGCTCTTTTTTTTTTTTAAGTTGTTGATGGACCTTTATTTATTGATATATATGTGGTGCTGAGAATTGAACCCAGTGGCTTACATGTGTGAGGCAAGCGCACTGCCACCGACAACAATCCCAGCCCTTGACTCTTTCTCTCTTTTTAAAAATATTTATTTTTTTTGAGATCTAGAATATTTTATTTTTTTTTAAAGAGAGAGAGAGAGAATTTTAATATTTATTTTTTAGTTCTCGGCAGACACAACATCTTTGTTTGTATGTGGTGCTGAGGATCGAACCCGGGCGCATGCCAGGCAAACGCGCTACTGCTTGAGCCACATCCCTAGCCCAAAATATTTATTTTTTTACTTGTAGCTGGACACAATACCTTTATTTTATTTATTTATTTTTATGTGATGCTGAGGATCGAACCCAGGGCTTTGCACGTGCTAGGTGAGCGCTCTACCGCTGAGCCACAACCTCAGCCTTTGACTGCTCTCTTAATGGGGAGAAATGTTAGAGAATCTTGGCAGTTTAAGAAGCAGCCTGTGTGCAACAGACATCTTGAGGAAAGAAGACATACAGGTGGCAAGTAAACATAGGAAGAGATGCTCGTCATGTCAAAATGCAAATTTTTAAAACAATGCAATCATTCCTGTAATTCCACCACCTCTGGAAGCTGAGACAGGAGGACTGAAAGTTTGAGGCCAGCATCAGCAACTTAGCAAGGTTCTGTCTCAAAAACTAAAAGGTGGGCTGGGGTTGTGGCTCAGTGGTAGAGCACTTGCCTAACACGGGTGAGGTCCTGGGTTCGATCTTCAGCACCACATACAAATAATAAATAAAATAAAGGTATGTGTCCATCTACAACTAGAACAAAACAAAACTAAGCTAAAAGGTGGTAAAGCATCCCTGAGTTCAATCCTCAGTACCAGAAACAGAGAGGTGGGGGAGTACAGTAGGAGGCAGAGACACTGAGATGAGAAAGTTTGAGATTCTCAGATTTATCTGCGTTCAACTGGTTCTCCCTGCTGTATGCGTCAGGGTCCCAGTTCTCGAAACTAATACCCCAATTTTTGTATTAGCAACTCGGCAAGGCTTTAAATTCAGTTTTGTATGTAATTTTGAAACCTACTCGCTTACATTGGCATATTGAATTTTCAGGGCCTCCCCACCCAGTTTAAAAAGAAATAAATTCTTAGCCTGACACGGTGGTGCACACTTATGTGGCTCGGGAGGCTGAGGCAGGAGGATCTCGAGTTCAAAGCCAGCCTAAGGAAATGAATCAGACCCTGTCTCTA